CTGAGCTGCACAGGGATGAGAACCGCCGGGCAGCTCCGGGCCCTGCGAAATCACACCGAGCCCGCCCCGCAGAGCTGAGCTGCACAGGGACGGGGGCGGAGGCGGGACGGCACCGCCGGGGCAGGTCCCAGCGCTTCACACACCGCGTCCCGCAGAGCAGAGGGCAGCAGAGCTCCGGGGAGGCTGGGGGGGCACACGCCCTCCCTCGGGATGCTAGAGGGAACGCTGCCGTACCTGTCCGGCCAAAAGCGGACAGGATGCATGAAAGTTCCAATTTTGGTCATTCTGTAGGACACTTTGACTTGGTTGTTAACCATGTAAAAAACCTATCCCACTATAATGGCCAGAGTCAGTAGGCCTTGCCAAATACTGAGGCCCTCTCCCCACTGGTATGACTCTTAGAAGTTTTTATTACAAAATCTCAACAAACAAACTCAAAAGACATCGCTTGAAGTTAAGTATATTTGGAGGAAACAGCGCAGAACAGAGAGGAAACTAGTAGATTTTGGTTACAGGTCTGCACGAGGCTGTGGCAGCATTTTGTCTCATAAGGTACAGTGTGTTTATAATGCGCAAAGCAAATACTTGGGAGTTTCTTGGAGTGCTGACATGTGAGGGCCGAGTCATCTGCAGCATTATTCATATTAGAACACTGTAGGACAGATTACAGAGTTGTTTTGAAAACAGATAGTCTTAGAACTAAAAATGAAAGATCTCCATTTGGTGCAGAGTCCAGGGCAGTTTTGGTTGCAGAACAAAAGCTTTCCTGAAGGGGCATTTGTGTAATGTAACCCTGACACGAGAACCAGAGGGCTCTGGCTACACACCAGCAGCAACATGTGGGCCATGGACAAACAAAAACTTCTACAGATGTTAATGGAAGTATGGGCTTCCAACAGATCATAGCCAGGGAAAACATTAGTGTGCAGGGTAGCACTTACAAAAGGAAAAAAAAAACCCACCAAAAAGAAAAACAAAAAAAACCAAAAACAAAGCCAAAAAACCAAAGCCCCAGTAACACCATAGAAAGTTCATATTGGAAGAAAAGATATCACTTATAATGAGAGACTAAAAACCTCTGCCTAAGTGGAAGCCTTTCCTTCAAGCACCACCAAGAGGTTAACCCTAACCCTATTCTCTGGCACAGAGTTAAAAATATACTCTATTTTTCAAATAGAGTATTTAGAATTTTTGTCAAGCTGCAATAAGTCCCAGCTTATTGTCTGCAATAAGTCCCAGTGCATGGCAATCACTTTTCAGTTTAACTAAAGGAAAAGTAGCATGCAGTGGTTTGTTTTAGTTTGCTTTCTTTTAGTTCTAACCTTTGCTTGTTAGGTGACATTTATTAACCAAGAGGTGTCTGATACATTTCATATAGTATGGAAACAAGGTAGCACCATTTTAGCACTCAGGGATTACTAGTGTTGAGTAACAGATAAAACTCCACTGGAGAGCAAGCTGCGTGCATTCTGCTGACAGTGACTTGTTACTGAACACTTTTTACTGTCACTGTGAGCATTGAACAGCTCACGTTTATAATGAGTGCAATGCTGTACTGCAAGCTCCTGTTTTGTTTGAGCCCTGGCACAGCCTACAGGTCAGGAAAGCCTTAACTGGGGGCAGGTGCTGCCTTTTCCGAGCAGTTAAGGACCTTAAAATGATCAGCACAAGAAACACAGGGACAGCAATTTTTGCACACATTTTGGCATACCTTAAAAAAACTTCTTGAAGGTTTTTGAAATTGCCTTTCTTTCCAATGGCTCATAAAGCACTGCATTGTGATACATTTTTGTGTGTTTGTGTAGGGGGAGTAGGGCCAAATAAGTGTTTGATCAGAGGTGCAGAACTGCATATTACCACTGATTTCAGTGGAAAAGAATTAGTTGTGTTTCACAACCTTTCTTCCTTCCTTGACAGGTATGTATTCCCTAGGTACTTGCTAGGATACAAACAATTAGTCCACAGAATTTCAAAAGATGCCAGATGTCCTTCAGAGTGTACAGACCTGTTTTACAGGCTGTCACACATAGGAATTGTGTAAACTCAAACACTAAATTTTTAACAGGGTTAGTAGTTTGTTTTTCCATTTTGGAACAGCTGGTACTCAAAACAAAAGTGGAATTATGATAATTTTACTGGCAAAATATCCACTGGAGTGTAAATGGTCCTGTTTACTTGAGGTTTTAAATCATTATAAAAGCTTTTTTTGTTTAAATCTCTTCTGCATGAAAATGTTTAGAATAAATATACCAGCTCTTCATTTAATAAATGTTTAAAAGCTTTTCTTATTGAGAACCACCCATATAAATCCATTCTCATATCATGAATTACTTAAGTGATCAAGACTGCTTAGAAAAGAGGAGTCTGGCCCAGCTTAGGGTTAATATATGATGACTGAGGGGCAAAGAAATTGTCCCCCTCCCACAGCTGCAGTTCTAATATCCATCCTTGTGCTGCCTCTGAGCTGTTAGACCCTGTGCTGAGTCTGTCCAGCTCATTAAATTTAGTGTCAGAACAATCCACTTTATTTTTCCTCCTGGGCTACTCAGATGAACCAAATAAGAAGCTTTTGACAAATGCCAGGGCTGGTATAAAGTAAGAATGTGGAACAGGACTTATTTTTTGGGTGAGAGCAAGTTATTAATACAATAAACTATCCCAAGGCAGCTTCACCACTAATTTGCAGTCGGTGGTGAGTCAGTGCTATAACAGTGAAATGGAGGGCTCTGTTCATATGGTATTGGAAATAGTGGTCTGTACTTTGGTAGTAACTTCCACCCAAGCTCCCACAAGCACTTTGCAGCCTGGCAGGGACACCTACGAATACCAATGATTTAGCCATGTGAACTGAAGCAGAAGAAAAAGATGGATTTCACTAGAAGGCTCCAAACAGGTTAACAGCTTCAAGAAGTTACTTGCTCAGTACCAACAAGTAAGTTTTTAAAATTCCATAAACTACCAACAGCTTTAAAATGAGAGAGAGTTGTTTTATGGCTGAACTGACTCAGTTTACCTTGATATCAAGTAAATTCCTGAGCTACTGCAACATGGGAAAAAACATTTTGGCTGAGACTGGGAGGAGCAGGAAAGGAATACTACTTCCCTTTCTGGCGTGGCAGCAAGCTGGGATTGCAGTGACGCCGTGTGAGCCATACCCTCATCTTTAAAGGTATTCAAATATGTACAGTAGTTATGCACCTAAATGAGTAGCCTGATATTTAGAATTGCTTTGAAGTCAGAAAGAGCCTGTAGAAACAAAGCCAAAGGAACAAGTTATTTAGTTAGGAGAAAGAAAAGACAGGAGGTAAGAAGTAAATTGTTAAAAGTTTGACCAGGTGCCAGGAATTGATAAATTAATATTCTTAAACCCTGGTAAATTCTCTTTCCAGGTAGTCTGTGGAGATGTAGCTGCGAACTAGAGAATAGAAAACACAAGTATGTTTCAGCATGATGGGTTCATTAAGAACCAAGTCTTTCCTATGCTTTACTGGTGCTCGTGGAAGTGTAAGTGAATAAAGAGGCTTTTATATTGACACAAGACCATGTCTAATGCAAACTAAGATATCTTGCCCCAGAAGCATCTTTTTACTGATTTGTTGTTCCAACACTGCTATTTAACAAATGCTCTTTCTGGCCTGTTCCTCTCCCTGTTCTGGGCATTGGCAGAACTGCAGTCCATGAATTCCATCATAGAAATGTATTTGAAGCTATTTCACTGGAAGAATTTCAAATCAAATTCTTCTTTGGTTTTCCAAATGTAGCACCAGAGCATAAGCTCAATTTCACAGTCCAATCATAGAATTACTCCACATCTGCAAAGGAATTTAGAATTTGTTTCACATTTCATTGTGGGTTGGCAATGAGTACTTTAGAGCTGGATTCTTCTATTCTTCAATCTAGTTAAAGCCTTTTTTGATCACTCCTTTTTGGAGCAATTAAACACATACTGCAGGCTCCAAAAAGGGCATAAAGTTAATTGGTTTTCCTTTAGATAGCAAAAGAAATGCATGGATTGCTACACCAGAATGCCAGTTTGTAATTTTCTGTGTCCATCTTCTCCGCTCTCAAGTACCTCCCATGTTCAGCTCATTATTTTTAAAAATAGTCATGTGCATCTCTCACTGTCATGTGTATAAACAACCTTTATTCTCTTTGATTGTGTATTTTGAAAAAGAAAAACTGAAAGGTCTTTTTTTGCAAGTGCCATCCCTTTTTTCAGGTGACTCTAATTGGAGGCTCAGAATTCTCAGCTGTGTGATCTATTGCTTAGTTACCCTGTGTTGTTTAGATCTCAGAGATCTGTAAGGTGAGTTCTTGTTGGATCATTGCTCACGATGCCTCTCTTTGAACGCACAGGCAGTGCAGTGCCTCCTCAGACAGAATTTCTTCTGTGGTTTGATACCCTGAGACTCCAGACTGAAAAATAGGAGAGGGAGAGTAGTTAAGGTAAGTAGCTTTTCTGTCAAAACTGTT